ACAACGTTTGTGACACCACTGGTTACACTGCTGAAACTTGATTGAATTGTTACCTACACCAGCTTTACAAACTGAACAGGGCCATCGTCCAGTAGCTGTGGATTGGATGGGTTCACCAGTGTTCATTGCTTTGGTTTTGCTGATGTTGACTTTGAATCCATGATCGGTGAGTCTGGTGTTCCAATCTTCAAACATCTGTGCTGCAATCTGCTCAGACGTGGCTGTTAAAACGATATCATCAGCATATACTAGATTCCAAATGTCAACACTGCGTATCGGTTTTGTGATTTCTTCCATCACAGTTATAAATAACAGTGGACTGAGAATCGAGCCTTGGTTAACTCCAACGCCGATGTCAAATGCATCTGTGTTTCCAACCGTAGTGCTGACAAGAGTCTTAGTATTCGTATACATTTCCATCACAAGTCGAACAAGATATTCTGGAATGAGTTGTCGACGTAGACTCCACCTGGTTGCTTCACGGGGAACTCGATCAAATGCTTTTTCAAGGTCTACAAAAATGTGCGATAGTTGTTGATGCTTTGCGAAGTACTTCTTTTGTGAATTGCATCAATTGTTGATTTCCCAGCTAGGAAACCAAATTGATAATTTCCGATTGTGATTCACGACGTTAATCTTCTCTCAATGATTTTTTCGACAATTTTCAGGGAGTGTTCTAACAGAAGTATACCCCGATATGATGAACAGTTCAATGAACCACCTTTGCCTTTGTATAGCGGGACTGTCATGCTTTAGTTCCATTCAGTCGCCTTGAGCAATTTCTCCAGATTTCACGGCAAAGTTGTAGTAACGTTTGGATACCTGCAGTACCAGATGCTTTGATAATGTCATTTGTGAGTCCCGAGGGCTCTGCTGCCTTTCCATCCTTCATAGCTTTCAGAGCTTCTGTAAGCTCCTCTACAGTGATGTCTGGAATCGGACATTCGATGGGTGGAGCGTCAAAGTTAACATTGATGGAATTTGTTTCGTTTAACAGACGATTGAAGTATTCTCTTCACTGTATTGAGCAATAAACTAACTATTCATAAACTAACAAAAATAAATCACAAAATATTTCACATGACAAGTTTGTGTACAAGTATATGTTGTACCATTTTCAACACTTAGAAACAGTGCCTGATATGAATCTTATTATTTTTAGAGGCATTGTTGAATGCAGATGCAGAGGCTCACCAGGGTGTCGTTCAAGATGTCCAAGAGCATTTTTAAAAATTTAAACGAAAAAACAAGAAAACAATAATAGCATGTATTTATTTCTGTAAACTATAACCAACTAATTGTATTGACTTGACACACACACGCCCGCCCGTGCATGCACTCTCCCACCTACTCACTCACCAACACAATATTTAAAACACATTCTAAGGCATCATAAAAGAGAAAGTCGGTCAAAAAAGAAGAAAAACAGTAATGAATAAAAACAAAAGCTAACCAATGTCGATGCCTTCTCCTCCTTTCAACTTGTCTTTGATCTGCTGCTCGAGCTGGTTCAATTGAGATAATGACTGTCCTTTGAATACATTTGCTAAATCACCCATGACAGCCGGGTGAATGCTGGATCTTCTATCTGATCGATGAACAAGCAAGTTTGTTTTATCTATTTTGTTGCCTCATTTTCATTAGTTATCTATCATTCAGGCAACTAATATAATTTCTACCAATCATTCACCGGTTTGTTTCATAGAAGGATTAATACTCTCACAATTCTTATTTAAAATATTTTATAAAAATTTAAAGTTATCAGATTATTGCAACTTAAAAAGAATCTAATTTTTTACAAACATTTTCATCAATTTTTACAAAGTTTCATTAAATTTTTTATATTCTGACGTCATACCAGTATTCAGGTATTAAAATATTAAAATAAGATGCAGCATACACGGCAAGTAACAAACTAATTTACTACCCACTTAATTTACTTAAAAGCTTACAATTTTAATCAAAAAAACCGCATCCTTCATGATTATATATTGTCAACAATAAGCAACAGCCAGTCAATAACAGCAACAAGTTGTTGTTGCATTAACCCTAAAAGAAACAACAACAATATCAATAGCAGCAGTCTGATTGATACTTTAACGTATCAATCCCATTCGAGGCCCCAGTCGAGACCATGACCCCCCAATTACGCAACGGGGAGGTTGGTATCTTGCAATTAGAAGCTAATGAGGAAAGAAGACTGTCAGGCCACTATTAGAAATTGTCAAGGTAAAGAGTTTGGGTAAAATGATAGATTTGCTCGCTCCAACACCAACAGTGAGAGATGAAAGACACATAGCAGCATATACAGCAGCTATAGAGGATTCAGATGAAGGCCTGAACAAGGGTGTTAGAACGGATCTAAGCAGATTTAGAACTGATCACCACATGGCAATACGAGACTACAGAGTTCGAATTGGACTTAGAACCGAAGAATACTGCAGACTGTAAGTATTGGACAAATAAACAACAACCCACCACCTTCTGGTGCAAGAGAGAGGAGAGTATGGTCTGGGGGTGGTGCTCGGTGAACTCAGTGAACGTTCAGCTGAAGCTGTAGAGATGGTGAGGGAGATCTTAAAAAGATAGGAGTCTGCAAATCCTTGAGTGACTACAACGACAGCAACAGCAGCAATCTTTTTTGATTTAGATGATTTTCCTAATAAACAATCTTTTGAACAGATTGATCTCATTCAAAACCATAGTGTGTCACGGTTCCTCAGTTACGCCACGGGGAGGCTGGGAATCTTGCTATAGCTTGGATACCTGGTCGCTGTGGGGTGGAGGCGAACGAAAAGGCAGACCGAGCCGCAAAAGATGGACGTAAGTTACCAAAGCAGAACAATACAAACATACAAACAGCATGCCGGATGGTCATCAACAAAATTGTACCTATCAAACCAATGCAATGATAGGTGCATAGAAGTATAAAAATAAAAAAAATATAACGGAAGATCAGACGTCATAACGGCAGATAAATGCCGACTATATGGAGAAAATTGATAATTTGAGAAGTACAATAGGACTTGGAGAAAGACTGGGAAAATTAACTAAATGACTGACAGAGGCAGCAAAGATGGTGGGAATGATTCTAAACAAAATAAACAACTTATGAACTCCAAAACAACAGCAGCAAACCAACCAGCTGTGTTGTACTCAAGTTTCTTCAACTTGTTCAGTTCCTCTTCAGTGACGATGGTGATGTCCTTCCAGTAATCAACATTTTTTCCCTGCTCCAACTCCACGTACACCTTGATGTCCACTAACAAATCCTCCAGATCTTGAATTGTGAGACCCTGCACGAACGAGCAACAAATGCAAATTAATTGCAAAATTATTCCATTTATTTATTGAAATGTGAAATTAAATTTGAAAACTGCAAACGAAACAATTTGAGATGATGAACAAATGACATGAAACAAACATTTAGAAAGTTGTAAGGTTCCGTCATTTCAATGGCAAGATCATTATCTTCAGCACTTATATACTGTGCAAGCAAGTCTATTGGTTTCGCTGGATTGATAAAAAAAAATCATGTTAATTAATGAGAATTTTTGCACCAACACATCATTAAACACGTTGCTCCAAACATCATCTTCATCATCATTTTACAAACCTCTGCCATCATCAATTCTGATCTTAGACCTCAACTTGGCCTGCTGCAGATGGAACTGAATGCATTAAATTTGATGTGAAAAGTTATTAAATTTATTTTAAATGTGATTTCAAGCAGTCATTTATCGATGTTACAAATCTACATGTTAATGTTAACACTAAAACAAATACTCCTTTCTTAAAATGTTTTCAATAACTTGTCTTTTCTTTTTCATTCTAGTTCAATTAGGTTTAGTTCACCTTCATACATTGCCTTCTGTCTTATGCCTTCCATACAATTTCCACACCTTTGTCTCTGCACATCAAATGATAATTTTATGACTCAACACGTTTTTTACACACTCACTGCATTTCTTCCCCAGTTTTTGCTCATTGTGAAGAAAAAAATCATTTGAATAATTTCTCGATGTTATTGCATCATTCAGATGTATCAACAATCATCAAAGTGTCAATGTCATTTCGATAAAATTTTTTGACATATTGTGAAACGAGATTTGTACGTCGTCTCACATGCGCTGATAAGATTTGGTGATAATTTTGATTGTATTACTGATAGTTTGCAGCAAATGACAGAAAGTGGCTTGTTTGATTCAAAAACTAAGTCCGTCGTCACATTAACACGAACGAATTCGATAGCCAATACTTCTTTTTGTGTTTCGCTAGCTACTGCAAGAAAAGTGATGACTTACCTCTGCATTTTCAAGACAACTGCAATCCTGAGTTTTAAATTACTTTGAGAGAATGAAACTTGTTAAAGACATTAAATATCATCTTCAACCGTGGCGTACTGATGACACTGTATAGGATGATGACAAGTCCATACTATACATTACAGTGAAGCAATCAAATTTGCTAAGGCTGCGGGTATTGAATTAGTTGAGCCTAGAAGCGCATCGAGACAGCAACAGAGGGCATCAAGAGGAAAGGAATGCTAATGAATATCTTAAAAAAACAATTTGGTATCCATATATTGATGCAATCAGTGCAGAAAGTTGCGCCAAGTTCACTCAACAATCAAAGCCTGCATTTTCTTAAGCGGGAGCCATTAATATAGGTTCTCCATTGAAAACGCTGTCTTTAAAGAAATATTTGACGAATGGTGCAATACTAAACCGCAGCAAAATGAAGTATGAAATTGTATGAAAAAATTAAAATTTTTTTGCTTTACAATGACTTGAATCCAGGGCCGTTTTAAGGTCGTCGTAGGCCCTAGGCCATATCTGCATTTGTAGACTTTTGTAGTAGGCTTCAAATCGATTAAAATTTAAATTCTGCACTAAAACGATGTGTAGCTAATTATAAACACGTTTACAGCATTGTTTGACTAAATTGTTATAAACCAATTTTTGTTTTGAATATTTTTTTTATTTATGAATGCATCCTTGGAGGTTTTGATATTTTTAATCTCAATTCACTTTGTGTTGCTTGATTTAATAACTAATTATTTAATGGATAACTTCCGGTTATCCACTATTTCGTCTACCACGTCTGTGCAAAATAAAAATGCTTACTAATTTTTAATGTTTACCAATTAGTAATTTTCAATTAGTATTGGTAATTACAAATAATTATAATTTTAGAAATCATGTCTGATGGATACTACAGTAAACACGAGTCTGGATCTGAAAAACAAAAGAAAAAGGAAGAGAAAGAAGAAGCATTAAAAAGATGAAAAGTTCCATACTAAAATATATAAATAATGATGATAACATACATTAACATATAGATTTGTAATACATCTATTGCGCTGTCCCGCGACTGCGTGTTTTAGCGGAGCTCTATCGTTTTTCGATAATTTGTGTTGTTAGAGGTCGTTGTTTCACGAATTTTTTCTCGGAAGTGGCGTTACTGGTCCTGGCGACACAGCGGACTATCGGTTGGTGAAATTTATTGTGGTTTTCGGTGGTTTTTGGAGTGGTTTGTGGCGGTGTTTGGAGTGTGTTTTACCTGCAATTCTACACATAGACTACTTTCCTCAGCCAATCAAATGTCAGCTACGAATTGACCTAATAAATCCTTATCAATAAACGTAACGCGCATGTTCTACAATCGCCTTCCTGAACCAATCAGCTTTCAGTTGTAATTAACGTAGCTTCGCCTGTCAACAGTTACAAAATTCTTTCTCAAATATAATACCTATCGACATTATCAACATATGTACATAGTGCGGGCTTTCACCTATCAACATTGTTAACTTGTACATTGTACATAGTCACATCTGGTCCGTTACAACTAAATTATTCAATCTAGAACAAATTTATTTTTTTTCAACCGTTTCTTCAACTTTCAATCGAACAACAATTGTCGACGATTTCCTCGCTACCATCATCAGTTACGTCACAGCTTTCGACAATCAGCATAAACATCAATCAAACAACAATTGTATCTTAACATCAATCACACAATTGCATATATATCCATCATTTTCTATTTGTAGATGACATTTGCATACACAATCGTGCAGCTGCTTTCACTGGCGCCTGCAGCCATCTCGCGACCTATCCCTAGACCCGCTAGAAAAATTTTGTTCCGATTAAGGATCTGGAGGCCTCGGAAGGGTCGTATCAGGCTTAAGCACTCGTTGTTTGCAGTAGATGGATCTCATAAAAATTCTACAAAAACAATTCTGGGTCTTCTGAATGCTCGTTCGGCTGTCAATAAAGCGGCTCTCCTTCATGACACCATTGTTGACAATGGCATTGACATACTGGCATTCACGGAGACTTGGATCTCATCTGACGCACCCATTGCAGTGAGGCTGGATATTGCCCCACCTGGTTTTTCTGTGGCACATTATCATAGGCCTGATCGGCGTGGTAGTGGCATCTCTGTTGTATACCGGGCGACATTTCGACATTCAGCGCTAGATTTTGGTATTTTCACAACGTTCGAGCTGCTTGTCACCAAGCTCGTGTGCCCTGAGTCGGCTATTATTCTCGCCGTTCTTTATCGCCCTCCTGGTCCGGCTGTTGATTCGTTTTTTGAGGAACTGGAGACTTTGATAAATTACTTACATTCATCTTCATCTTCCTTTATAATTTGTGGCAATTTCAACTGTCCTGGTAGCGAGCGTCTCTCCTCCCTTCTGGAAGAAAATAACTTATCTCAACACGTAAGCTTTCCAACACCAGTGTGGTAATACTCTTGATCTAATCATCACCTCGACTTCGTTTTCCGACAGCATAAAAGATGTGAGATCATCAGATGTCACCTATTCTGACCATAAAATCATTCTTGTGGACATATGTACATTCAATACCCCGCCTCTAGTTGAAACTCGTACATATAGGCCTATACATCGCATTAACCTAAACAGATTTCAATCTGACTTAATGGCTGTAGTCGATTCTCTGCTCTCTGCTTCACTGGATCCTGATATGTTGGCTTCAGCCCTTGATCGGAATTTGCACAGTTTGCTGGATCGACACGCTCCACTAAAAACTATTACCATCAGGCGTGGCCAAAAGCATATCTTCACTCTTTCTGATGAGGCACGTCAGGCAAAGAGAGAGAGTGTAGACGCCTAGAAAGAAAATTGCGGCTGGATTCTCGTCACGCAGTAAAACATGCTTACAGGGTTGCAAAAAATGCAGCTAAAATCGCCATCCTCAAATCTAGAGCGGACTGTATAAGCTCTGAATTCGGTAAATCAAATTCAAACCCTCGTTTCCTGTGGCGCTTGGCTAACAAAGTTCTTCACAGCCACCCTGTTCATCGCTATAGTGATGCAGATTGCAGGAGGCTGGTTAATTCCTTCAGCACATTTTTTCAGGAAAAAATATAAAAAATATATCTCTCAATATCCACCGCTATCTCTAAATCCACCTCTGTCACTTTCCCTGCTCGTCCATATAAAGGCGACATCTTTCTTCAAATTGCTGATACTGATTGTGATGAGATGACTAAATTCATTGCCTCTCTACCAAACAAAATACCACCCATTGATCCTATTCCAACCTCAATGCTTCCGATCTTAGCACCTATTCTGGTCAAGCTGACTAACTCTGTCTTCAACACGGGATGCTTTCCTTCACTTTATAAAACTGCTCAGGTTTTACCACTACTGAAAAAACCATCCTTGGATCCTGATGACCCGTCAAATTACCGCCCTATATCAAACTTATCAACATTCTCAAAGCTACTTGAGCGCGTCATATTGCTAAGACTACGTGCCCACCTAATGTCCAACCATAACTATCCAAATCTTCAATCTGCTTATCGTTCTCGTCATTCCACTGCGACTGCATTGCTACACATTGCTGATGATATTTTTAATGAGGCTGGCAACCGAAAGGTAATCATTGCAGTTGGGCTCGACTTGTCCGCAGCCTTTGATACCATCAATCACTCGGTTCTTCTCGAACGCCTACAATAAGAATTTGGGGTGGATGGTCATGCACTATCACTGATTAGATTTTACCTGAGCTGCAGACAGCAGTTTGTGAAGCTGGGAAACCATACTTCCTCTACCTGCTCGATCGACACTAGAGTTCCTAAGGGTTCCGTCCTCGGTCCAATCTTGTTCACTACCTATGTGTCTCCTGTCAGCGAAATTTTTAGTAAAACTGGATTATTTTCTCATCACTACAGTTTCATAGGTTCAGTTTTCTTCTTGACAGATCTTTGTCAAGTGATGAAATAGTTTCTAAGGCAAATGAATTAATTAAGATATATTCATCAAATCTGGATGAGGCATTTGCTGATGAGTTTCTTTTGTTTTCCAGAATGTTCGTCGACACGAAATCTGTTGCGAAATGTTGAAGACGCAAATAGAGAACAAGTTGGTTACAAGTTTTCCGGATGTAAATATTGCTTTTCGAATTTATCTGTCAACTTTTGAAACAAGTTGTGAAGGTGAACGATCTTTTTCAAAACTGAAACTTATAGAAAATTATATGTGGTCAACGATGGGACAATGATGTCAGACTTTACCATTGCACGGTCCATAGTCAGTGGCTGATCTAGTGAGCAGAATTTGTATTAAAAGTCACTATTAAAGCGAAAAAAGCAGCATATTATGTGGATAATCGACCAGGACAAAAATGGACGTACCAAGCAAAAAAAGCCATCAGTCACACAACCACAAAAGTTGACCCCCAGTCAAAGTTGTCTAGATACGCCCCTGTCCATAGTATACATTAATAAATGTCAGACATCACTTCCAGGTTAACATTTATGCATAAATTGCCATGAAATAACACATAAACTGTCATGAAGTATGTAATAGGCTAATAATTATAATAACACCATTTAATAAAATGCCATGCCATGGCAAGTGACTGAGGCGCATTATTATTAGTAAATACACGTAATTCAACGCATCCCACTTGAATGGATAGGCTAGGATCTCTTTACATTCGAACCCAGTCATTGCAACCGCAATGCCAGGCACCTTAACTATCACACTACCAACAACAACAAACAACACACGTTTAGACGGCATTTTCCCCGAGATCGTGGGTTGCCGTTTGGCTACCTATGATGAAACCGAAATACCCATCGACGCCATCCACATCTGTCACTCGCCTCAGTATCACGCAACCCCGTTTTCACCCTGTCCTTCTCCACCTGCTCTCTCCATCCCAATCGCGGACGACCCCTTCCTACCACTCCTTCAACCTCGAACTCCAACGCTCGCCTAACCCGACCCTTTCATCCCTTCTCAACACATGTCCATACCACCGCAATCTCGATCTCCTTATCAATGTCACAA